CCGTTCTGAAGGATTTCTGCACGTCCAGATCTGGCTCCGATAAGTTTGCCCTCTTGGCCAACTGCCGCCGGAACAAATCATCGTATAGGATGATCAGGAACTGGCTGTGCTTCACCGACTTGTGCTTCTCCACGAGCTTCGCCAACTCGTCTTTGTAGCAGATGACAGTGGCCCACGTTAGCTGCTGCATTGCCACGGCTGCCACCGCGTAGCGGTCGAATGCCGTGGTCCACTGCACGAAGGACCGGAAGAAACGGCGGGTGGCCGTTGCACTCCTCAACGCGCTGGTAAGCTGACCGAGCGTTGCAACTGACGACGACGGGTCCAGCGTCGAACCCCATTCGCCACCTGTGAGTGCCTTACCCCCGATGGCGTCTGAGGGGAGCCACAGCGGGAGGATCTCTTTGGCTGTGAGATCTACATACGAGAACGCTTTCCGACTGTTCTTCTCAGCGGCAACGTTCTCTGCGTGCAGCACACGCCAAACCAGCTCTTCAGCCTGGAGGTGGTACGGGAGCCCTCCGAGCCCCGCTTTGGCAAGCTTGTCTGCGACATTCACCTTGTCAGGTGCTATCGCCAACAGCTTTGCCACCACCTCTGCTGAGTAATCTGCCCCAACCATGTCCAGGACATCCTGTTGCATGGCTTGGGGAAGGGTTGGCTGGTGCTGCTGTGGGAGAACAGATGTAGCAGGTGCTGACGCTGCACCACTGCTCTGCTGCTCGGGGTTTGCAAACCGAATTGTACGACGGGCGAGTCCCAACACAGGCAGGGGCAAGTCGTTCTTCACATCTTTTTCAACCAGGCCGATCAGCTGACCAGGGTCGGTGATCTTGTTCTCCTTGAAGTAGGCCGCCGTTGCCGCCAGGATCTCTCCTGCTGGCTCTTTGGCGTCCACGTTCTTGATGTAAGTCTCCAAAGAAACCTCTGCCATCGGGAGAACTGGGATGACCAGAAGCTGAAAGTGTGTAAAAGTTTTTGCGCTCAACCGCTTGAGCCGCCTGAGCCCAGACGGCTACGGACCCGCTCTCTCCGTCCCGTGTGGCGCAGCACACGATGCATTCGCTGGGGTCACCGAAAGAAGCAGCACCTGCTCGGTCTGGGTCGAGAGCCCAGGAATGGATGAGAGCGAAGCACGGTTATCAGCTGAGGTCCCACCAGGACCCCACAAGAAACGAGTTGCTCTGACAGGATTCGGAGGCGAGTCCGTGAATGGCGACAATGGCGAAGCACGGTTAACTCCATGACGGTCGTGCGACGACAGCCGAAACCAGAGGGGAGAGGAGGAGCTCGGAATCTCAGATCGCGGCGGGGCCAGAGGCTGGAACGCAGGACGCCTGAAGCCCTCCGATTGGATGGGTGCCGGCGCCGTTGCCCTGCTCCTCTCTCCTCCCTGCACCGCCTGTTGTCTAAGCACGACACCCACTCGAACGCCTCGCTCTCCGAGACGGCCCGGTGGCTCCCTGCTGGGAGGGGACGACAGACGAAGAGAGGGGGAAGAGGAGGAACTCGGAATCTAAGATCGCGGCTGGGCCAGAGCTCTGGAACGCTCGGCGCCTGAAGCCCTCCTACAGGATGGGTGCCGGCACCGTCCCAACTCCTCCCACCACTCTACGACCGTCGTCCGAGAGTCGTTCACTGGCTCCTTTGGGCAAGCTCCCAACGAGTTGGGTTTCCGCCCCCAAGGCGTCCCCAGGGTCTACCTCCACCACACCCGCGTCGAACAGCTCCGACAGAGCGCGGCCAAAATCGCAACCCCTCCGCGCCAGCTTTGGGTCGAGATAGCGCAAGTTATCAGCGCGCGATTCATCCAGGGATTGAACTTCAGCAGGTTCGCGCAGTAAACCGTGGCCAGCCCCCGGCATCTTGAGCAGCGGCCCCGGCATGATCGAACCCAAATCGACCCGGCCAGCACCGCCACAAGGTAACGAGATCACACCCGGCTGGTAGACCGCCCTGCCACCGACTCGGACTCAGCGTAGCCCGGCCGAAGTCCCTGCAACGCCTTCCACGAAGCATGGGCATCGCGGCGCGCATCTGGGAAGCTCACCGAACCATACAGGCCAGCGAGGCGGCGCACAGCGACGCGTTGGGTCCCTGTGAGCGCCGCATCAGGAGCAACTTGTCGCCCTTGACCTCCCAGCGCGTTCAAACTACGAAGACCATCACGCAACCAGCGATTCTGTCAATCACGCTTGCGCCTCGGCGCTGGGCCGCAGGTGACGACCCGAGCGGGCCCGAGCCATGCAGTGCTGAATCCAACCCAACACCCAGTGGGATCGGGAGCAGGTCGCGAGACGAGTCGACAACGTCCACGATGCAAAACTGCAGCACCGGGTAGTCCACGGGCGCCCCCCCTGAGAACTGCGACGAGCTGGCCGGGCCAGGCCTCCAGCCGCCACCACCGAGAGAGATGTAGAGCGCGTGCTAGCCCGTGCCCTCGGCGCCCTTGGGAGCCGTCTTCGGCTTCTTGGGCTTCTTCTTGGGGTTCGGTTGGACAGTTGGGTCGGCGCCCTCCTGCACGTTCGCGCAGGCGCACGGCGCTGGAGAGGCGGCCCCGGCAGGAGCCACACCAGCGGCCAGGAGCTTCTCCTCCTGGCCCTTCCTCCTCTCCTTCAGGATCGCGGCTTCCTCCTGCAGGCGCCCCGCGACCCACTCCTTCAGCTCGGGGGCCGCCAGGGCGGCCCCCCGGCCCCGCTGCCGCCCCAAGAAGATCTCGCGCTCGTCGAGCCAAGCCGCGCCTCCTGCACCACCGCCCCCCTCGGCCTCGCGCAAGGCCGTGCTGTAGACCTCCCCCCGCAGCTGGTACCTCCGGCACACCATCTCGAAGAACGCGAGGTTGGGCAGGCACACATGGTCGATCTGGCACCCGACTTCCAGCATCTCGCCGAGAAAAGCATGTTCATCCACACCCGAGTCCTCAACAGACAAGCCGAGGATCTGGCGCCACCAGTGATGTCTCTGCATCGGGGTGAAGTTCAGCTTGACGAACTGCATGAGCAACCACAAACAAGTACGCGGGCCGACGATAGGCCAGCCCTCGACGCTCACGAGCTGCATCGAGTTCACCGCGCCCGGGAACGGCCTGCTCCGATCACCGAGGCCGTCGACCTTCACCGCCAGCGTCCTGACGCCGTCGCGGCCGCGCGGCGTGGGCCGCGACGCGGTGCTGGGCAGCGCCACCGCCAACGAGCCCCCGTCAGACAGCTCGAGCACGCCCCGATCGCCGAAGACCACCACCCTCGCGATGAGGTCGCCGATCTCGTAGCCGGCTCGGGCAACGGCAGCCTCCCAGTCGCGAAGGGCACCTCCAGCATCGCCCGCGCCGAGAGCCCGCGGACCAGCAGGAGCAGGAACAGGTGGAAGACCCGCTCCGGCAGGCTCGCTGGCGGCAGCGTCGTCCAAAGGCATGGGGCCGCCGTCGCCGGGATCAGGACGGCCCTCCTCGGCGCGAATATGCTCAGCACACTCGCGGGCGGCGCGGAGCAGCTCAGGCCGAGGACGCTCGAACTCGTCCATGTCGATGCGCAGCAGCCTCCCGTAGACCATGCCGATGCCGCCGCGCGGCCCGACTGGCCTCAAGTCCAAGGCCTCGTCCAGGTCCTCGTGGTACAGGTCGAAGTGCGGCGTCACTATGATCCACCGCGTGCCCCCGAGGGGTTCCAATAGCACACGTTCGCGCCAATAGTTATCGGCCAGATCGTCGGAAAGCGAGCACCCTGACCAAACGAGCTAGGCGCTCGAGGGTATTCAATTTGTGCGACATCTTCGGCGGCATCAGGCCCGCGGAAAGCAGCAAGGGCAGGCTTAGGCCGGAAACTCCACCTCTCGACCGCGCCGAAGTCGCGCGCCAGCAGGCCCAGGAAGAACGCGAGCACCACCAGCGCACCGACGAACACCCGGTCGGAGACGGCCCAGCCCTGTACGACAGGCTCCTGGCGGACGAGGTTCTCCGGCCCGCACCGGTCGAGTTGGCGCTGGAGCAGCGCGATCAAGCCCGAGTCGACGTTGCCGCCCTCGAACTTGCACACGCAGGTCGACTCGCCGACGCCGCTCCCGCGCCAAAGCCAGGTGCCCAGCGCCTGCCCGAGCACAGCCGAACCCCAATGGAAAGCCTGGCCTACCACTTGGCCCGCGAAAGCCCCGGCGAGCGCGGCCATCCACCTCCTCAGGTGGAAAATTGCTTGAGAAAAACGGCGACAGACGGAACGCTCATCATTCCCGTGCATCACGTCCAACGCTCGCATAGCCTCACGTGCTATGTCCTGAGCCGTTTCACGGAACCCTTCCGACAACGCCGTCGGGCTGCCGCGCATGCTGCCGCACCTCTGACGCCCGTGTGGGCGGGTGGCTCAGCAGTCCTGACAGCCACCGCAGCCAGCTAAGCATCGCCGGCCTCGCAAGCGTCGCCTGGCGCTTGCGCCCGCCTTTTCCCCTTCAGCGGGCATGACCTGCCGTGGATCCCACACTGATCGGTGGACAGAGCAGGCCCCGGCCGCGACCTCGCGAGCGGCAGCCGCAGACCAGCTGTGGCTGGGCGCGCCCATGGGCCTGCGGCCGAAAACCTGCTCCACTTCCATCTGTGGCAGCAGGAGAGGCGGCAGATGCTTCCCGCTTGAGAAAGATAGGTCGCAAACCAGTCTGATCGTGGTATCTGTACCACCAGATCCCTGGAGCCTGGAGCGAAACCAGAAGCTAAACCTATTCACGAAATACTGGAACCCTGCAACATAAGCATGAAAACGTCCGTCTGAATCGCAGAATTACCTAAGTGCCATGACTAGCTAAAACTCTTGTAACCCTTCCAGTTCTTCTAACTCATCTGGCTCTTCAGGCGGGAGGTGGAGGTGAAAGAGGCGGGAGAGGAGAAAGAGCGCAAGGGTGAGCAGCAGAACGGAGGGGGGGGGAGGGGAAAGACCAGAGGATGAAAGGGTGCGGGAGGGCTGCGAAGAGGAAACGGGGGAGGGGGGGGGGAGGAGAGGCAGGAGGAGGCAGGAGGAGGCAGGAGTGAGAGGAGGCAGGCATGGAGGAGGAGCGACGACGACAACAGGGAACGAGAACGGCGCGGCACTGGCACGGGCTCTTTGTCACAGTGCGTGGCAGCGCCGCGCCAATGTTGACGGGCACTCTGCCGCGTCAAGGCTCTATTGTGGCAGAGCGGTCGGCCCTTGTCAAGCGAGGACCGCTGCTGGCATCAAGTGGCGTTCGGAAACCCGATCACCAGGCGACGAAGGGATCCTGTAAGAGCAGAGGGATGACATGATAAGCCGCGCAAACGTGAACTTTCGGAGATGCGAGCGGATCTCTTGGGTTGGCACCGGACCCCCCATGAGGCGCCGCCAGTGGCGAGCTCCACGCGCCAGGGGAGGCGGGTCTGGAGCTGACCTGGAAAATCCGCACGAACCTACGAAGGCTAATGTTCACGCTGGTCTTCCCAAATCGGAAGAGGAGGTCACCAGGAGGAGGAGGAGAAAGAGGAGCAACACCAGCAGAAGAGAATTGGAAGCAGGAGCAGGAGAAGAAGAAGGAGAAGAAGGAAGGGCAGCAGAAGGAGGAGAGGAGAAGGCAGAGCAACAGAAGCAGCAGGGGTCCTGCCCAGCCGGCACAGATGGCGGCTGTTCGTCGGAGTCTGGGTATTCGTCAAAGTTGCTCGTATCGGTCTCAGATGCGACCTTCGGCTTGAAAGGCGAAGGAATCTTCTTGCTGAGAAGCTCGCTCCAGACTATGCTCTGAAACCATTTGTGCTGCTTGATATCATCTACACCATTCTTCAGGTTGCCATACCGCTTGCCGAGGTCTGCTGTGAGAAGTTTCTTCACAAGGCCCTTCGCCTCCTTGTTGAAGACTTTGGGAAAAACTATCTTGCCGCTGAGAATCTTTTGGTAGATGCCCATGGGGTCTTCGTCCACGAAGGGGGGGTATCCCACTATCATTTCATACACCAAAATGCCAAGAGTCCACCAGTCCACAGGTTTACCATGTCCCTTATTGAGTAGCACCTCAGGAGCAATACCCGACGGCCCCCTTGCGAGGGGGCGCCATGACATATAGCAAAATCCAACTCTACATCATTGCATTTGTATATGTCCGGCGATGATCCTCATAGTCTCGAGCGCGTTGGCAGACACATTCAGTGTGTAGAGATACCCCACCACCGTGCCAAAGGCACTGAGTGAAATGTCCTGAGGTCCTCAGTAGTCCGCGACACTCAACAGCCAATCCCCCATGTGAAATATTGCAACAAATGCCCCGAACCCGAAAATGCCAAGATTCCCGCCCGCTCTTCTGCGCTACTGGGGCTTGAATAGGAAATCCAACAAGCCCTGAGACAGTGGGGGTCCCGGGGGCCGTACTGGAGCTGTCTCGGGGAATATGACTCCATCTTGGAGGCACTGGGGCCGACCCACGGATTGAACATCGATGAAACACCCGAAGGCGTCCGATTGATTTCAATATTCTCGGTTATCAGCCCTCGTACCGTCTAGAATAACATGACCCAAGAGGCGCAAAGCTGCCCACACTGGCCACAATATGCCGCCAACTACCTTCCAGGAGGCATCCAGGAGGCCCGCGAATACGCCCAAACTGCTCGCCGAGAGGCCCCGACAGGCTTCCAAAGGGCCTCTGGTCCTGCCCAAACACGGTGGCAGGATGAGCCGAAGGCTGGCACGCGGTTTGGAATACCTCGCGGTGATTTCTCAAACATGCTCTGCATTTGAGTAAACGACCGCGTTAGCCAAACATGTATTATCACACATACGAATCCTGTGCATTAGCATATAAAACCATGTGTTCAAACTTATGTTAATGTATATTTATACACATACATACAGTCATACCTATATACCTATCTAACTACCTACCTACATACATACATACAGACATATACGGACATACATACCTACATACATACAGACATACATACAATCATATATAAGCTTATACACACATGCATGCATGCATATATGCATACATGCATACATACATTTACATACATACATACATACATACATACATACATACATACATGCATGCATGCATGCATGCATGCATGCATGCATGCATGCATGCATGCATGCATGCATGCATACATACATACATACATACATACATACATACATACATACATACACACTTACATACACATGTAAGCACCAAGCTTACACACAAAATACACACATACACACACACACACACACACACACACACACACACACACACACACACACACACACACACACACACACACACACAAAAAAACACACAAACATACTCTGTTGTTGGCGGTAGCGGCCTCGCGCGCAGCGACGAAGCGGAGCAATTCTAGACACTTCGCGTATCCCCACCAGCCCGTCCAGAAACGACGCCCAGGCGAGTAGAGGGTCGTCCTGAGGGGTTTTTCGGCGTCTTGGGTGCCTCGGGGGGGCCTCTGTGGGCCGTTCGGGATCCTCTTTGGGGCCTCCTGGGGGCCTCTTGGGGCCTCCTGGGGCCATCTTGGGGCCTTTGGGGGCCTCCTGGGCGCTTCTTGGGGCAATATTTGCCCCTTGGGTGCCTCTGGGGGGTCTCTTGGGGCCTTTTGGGGGTCTCTTGGGGGCCTCCTGGGGGCCTTTTGGGGGGCGTCTTGGGGCCATATTGGGGCCATCTTGGGGCCATCCTGCGGCCTCTTGGAGGACATCGGCCAAGGAAGTGGGGCTCCCTAATTACAGCCCCCCCAGGAGCTCCAAACATCGCTTCCCTCTTGGATCGCTCTTGGAGCGCTCGTGGCCGCTCTTGGAGCCATACTGAGGCTCTCCTGGGCCCCTCTTGGAGCTATCTTGAGCCATCTTGGAGCCATCTTGACGCGTCGGATGTGCATCGCAAGCGAAAAAGTGAGAACACCAAAAACATTGATGTTCCCTAGGGTTTTGAAGCATTTTGGCCTGTTGGATGCATCATAATGATGCGCTTGTGGGGATTTGGAACCGTCTTGGGGAGTTCTTGGAGCGTCTTGGAACATCATGGGGACCATATTGAGGCATCTTGCGCTATCTTGAGCCATCTTGGAGCCATGACGCGTCGGATGTGCATCGCAAGCGAAAAAGTGAGAACACCAAAAACATTGATGTTCCCTAGGGTTTTGAAGCATTTTGGCCTCTGGATGCATCCTAATGATGCGCTTGTGGGCATTTGGAACCGTCTTGGGGAGTTCTTGGAGCGTCTTGGAACATCATGGGGACCATCTTGAGGCATCTTGCGCTATCTTGAGCCATCTTGGAGGTCATCTTGAGCTCCCTGAGGCCCTTTTGGAGCCGTGTTGGGCCGTCTTGGACGCTCTAACTACCCGCGGCCCCCCCTGTCCAGGTCAGCGGGGAGGGGGTAGGGGGAGGGGTAAACCCCTCCCCGAAGGGGAAGAGGGAGGGGTGGAAGAGGAAACGCTCTAAACCACCGACGCCCAGAGGGCTGGTGGGATTCTAAACAAAGTGCACGCGGTTGCCGTACCAATGACTGAGGAAGCAGACCGACCGATATCAGCCATCAGGGCGTGGATGGCGGGGAGATGGCATGCCATATGAAAAGAGGAGGATTGCATCTGGACATTGAGGCATGGATGGCAGGGAGGTTTCACGCAGACCCAGGGACCTACCTACCCAGTCGGCGAGCGCGCGGCGGGGTGAAAGACAACGAAACCAAATTGGGCAAAGAGATGCACCACGCCAAAAGGCGCACAGCAGAAAATCATTACGGCAGCCGGTCGCCACAAGCACGGCCGGCGCCCCCGTGCGAGCTGAAGAGCAACACGGCACTCGCACTACCAGGCGGGCATCCTGGGACAGTCCAACACATACCCCAATACCAGCTGGGCAGAGCATCGGCCGAACCAGGAAATAAGGCTGGGAGGGCGGGCGAAAAAAACAAGTCGTTTTTCCACTGTCGCCGCGGTCGCCTTATCCAGGCAATCCGTGGCGACCTGTGGACGTTGGCTCGCCTCCTGGCTTGCCGGCGACCGGCCCCCGTCGAAGGTCTGCGCCGAGTCGCGCGGGTCTGCCGCGCCCAGGCAGGGCCCCGCCCCTCGTCCAGGGACCGCGGCTGCCGCATGCATTTGCTGTATCCAAGCAGGGACCTGTTCCTTATCCAGGAAGTGCGGCTGAATTGGTTCGCCTTGTCCAGGCAGGAATCCGCTTGATTTCGGGGAGCTGGGCGTTTGCCGCCCGTGGGTTCGCCTTGTCCAGGCGGGGGCCTTTCCTTGTCCAGGAATTGCGGTTGCTTTTGCGGGTTTGCCTTGTCCAAGCAGGGGCCCGCCCCTTTTCGGTGAGCCGAGCATGACCTTGCCGGTCTGCCTTGTCCAGGCAGGGGCCCGCCCCTTATCCCTTAACTGCGGCTGCCCCGGGTTTGCCTTAAGCAATGCAGGGGCCCGCCCCCTGTCGGGGAGCCGAGCGCAGGCGCGAGCGCACAGTGCACAAGGACCTCTTGCCCTCGGCATCCCTGGGCGCCCCCCGTCGGGACGAGGAGCTCGCCCCCGGCCCTCCTGGGCGGCCGCCCCGAGCCGGCGACCGCCAGGCACATGCAGGTGGAGGCCCCCTGCTTGCCACCTAGCAGCTCAGCGGGGACAGGGCCCCGGATCACCGCGCGCGGCCGCCATGGAGCAGGCGCTCGGCAGACGTAGAAGAGGGCCTTGAGATCGGCGGGCAGTCAACGATATCAAGCAGCCGGCCAGTGTCACGCGAGGAGGGGCACCTGGGCGTCGCATTGGACGCCCAGGCAGGGCCACCCTTCCGTGCCCCGCCGCACGGGCGGCGGGCGGGCTCCACAGCACGTCCTCGGTCTCGGTCAGGACCAGGCCGCTCAGCTGGCTCATGCCGATGGACCACGGCCTGGCAGGCATCCGACGGGATCAGGCTTGCGATGAGCCCGAGATTTGGTCGACCCTCGCCGCCCCCGCAGCGCGCCAGAGGGTCGCGCGGCTCGACCGCGCCGAAAGCTCCGTTCAGGAGGAGCCGCCTGTCCCGCGTCGCGATCTCGGACCGCTCGACGGGGCCGACCATCCCGCGAGCGCAGTGGGCGGCGACGATGCGATGCCACTCCCCCCTCGCGGCCCATATTCGAGCGGAGGCGGCGGCGACCCGCTGGCGCGAGCGCGACAAGCGACGGGCGCGGGCCTCAGGAGCGCGGAGACCGCGGACCCGTCGCAGGCGATGCGCTTGTCTTTCAGGCGCTCGGCCCAGTCCAGCTCCGTCGGCGGCGCCACCTCGGCCGGCATAGCGCGGTAGATCCTGCGCGCCAGGGCCCCGATGGCGGCGGTCTAAGCCGCGGTAGCTCGACCAGGGCGCGGCCGCGCGAACTTCGGGGCGCGGTAGCCAGCCCCCCAGCTCAGCCCGACGATCGCCGCCTCCAGCCTGCTGAGCAGCGCTTCCCAGCTCCTGTCGCCGATGCTCTCGTCGCTGAGGACGGCCCCCATAGCGGACAGTCGAGGGCACGGCGACGGCAACAGGTCTCGGTGAAGACGGCTGCCCATGGTAGCCGAAAGCTCGCAGCACTTCAAGTCGAGGAAATCTCAAGCACGGCGACCAAGGGCCCCTGGGAACTCCACGGAGAGGCGCCCCAGGATCGGGCCCACGCTGATCGGCGCGCGCAGGAGGTCACCAGCAGCACCAGCCACATCTCGCCAGCCCCCAGCGGGCCCCCACCTCACGCGACCTCAACCATCCCGAACCAGATAGTCAGCCGCGTCATCAGCCTCGCCGTCCTCAGCCGCCCGCCCCAGCGGGACCCGCGGCCGCGGCCGCGGCCCCCCCCGCCGCGAGGGGAGCCCCTCGCCGCCGCTCGCTCCTCCGGCCGATAAGCCCGCCGCGCCGGCGTCGGCGCGAGGGCCCCGGGAGCTCCGCGGCAACTGGGCGGGGACTGTCGCCTCGGGGCGCCCTCGGGCGGCCCCCCGCACCTCCCCGCCCAAGGCTGTCGGAGAGCTCCGGCGCGGGTGCTGGCGGCAGCGGCCGCGGCCGCGGCGGCGCCCTCGGCCAGCCACGCGACGGGCGGCCGGCTCGGCGAGCGACGCTCCTGCGAGCCCCGGCCGCGCCCGCGCGGCCGCCGCAAACTCGCTGGGCCCTCGACCGGGCTCCAGCTGGCGCGGCTGCGCGAGCGGTCGGCTCGGCCGAGGGCCAGCTAGCGCCTCGGCCCTGGCCCCCAGCGCCGCGGCCCCGCAAATCGCCCAGCCGCCGCCGGAGCACGGCCGCCCGTCTCGCCGCGCCCTGATCGCCCAGGGACGCCAGGGTCGGGCGCGCGCCCCCAGCGACCTCCAGCTCACCAGCCACCTGCCACCTCTCGCCCCCGAGGCTCAGCTCGGGAGCCTCGAACAGCTGCATCAGCGCGTC